GAATGGAGAGAGAAGGCAAAGAGTTGCGGTGATGGGCGGGCACGCAGCCGCTGGAGCAAGCCTGCCGCCAGCTCCAGACAACTTGAAGACAGGGAGGGGAACCCGGAGCAGCTCAGGGCCCGCTCCGGAGGCGAATGCCGCGAGAGGGCAGCACAGCCCCGGCCACCCCGCCGCCCGCCCCCCGGCAGCGCAGGGGCTCGCACAACCCCGCTTCACCCCTTCAGGGGCTCTACCTCAGAGACCACCCGCCGCTTCTCCGTGCTGACTGACGGGGGCTTTCCTAATGAAACCCTAATTGTCTGCAGGGAGGGATAATTAGCTCCTTCATAAACCTCGACCGGCCTGTGGCTGTGTGGGTTTCCTCCTGCTGTAAGACAGTAGGGATGTGCTGGTGGACGTTTAAATAGCCCATGGCTACATCTGGGCCTTACCTGGTTATGTTTTCCTGTCCTATGCAGAGCTGAGAGCTTTCTTCCCTCAAGGGCTTTAATAGCAGCAATCCTGGGAGAGACATGGGCTGTGGGCATAGCCCAGCAATCCCCAGCTGTGCCCCAAATGGGGTACCCTCCTCCCCACCAGAGCCTGGGGCCTGCCTAGTACCAGGACACAGGGATCAGGAAGCAGAAATGTGTTTCCATGTTAATTCAAGGCCTGGCTCAGCTTCCACTCAGAGAAGCTATGTTTCTCCAGCTCTCCGAGCCATTCCCAGCGCTGCCGTTTGTCAAACAGCAGGACAAAAATAGCTTCTCTCCAGGGGCTGCAACAGGGCTGCTCGACTTGGATGTGCTCTTCTCCACTCTGCTGTGTGAACCCAGGGCTGACCTCTGAGCGGAGACTGCACAAGCTCCTCCGGCAATCTTATGTAGGCATAAACCCCCATCCTGAGCCACACTAAGGGGGTATCACAGGGTAAGTCCAGATCAGCTTTAGTATCTATGGAGCCACAGCTGTAGCCCCTCTCCCTTGAGGACTGGGAAGGGGAAAGATGAAGGGGGACCAGGGGTGGAGAAGGGAGAGGTGACTGGGCTGGGGTACTCAAGCACAAACAGGTTTCTTTTCCCTGGGTGCTGCAGACAACCTGCCAGCCAGGTTCTCTGGGAGTCCCCAGCCCCAGGGCTCCCAGCTCGGACAGGAGCTCTGCCGGAGGTTGTCTGCCTGCTGTATGGGCTTGGGAGGGGGAGCACCAGGGCTGTCAGATCTGCTCACTGAGAGCTGTATTAGGACTGCAAGCTCTGTCTCTACCAGTAAAGCAGCACAGAGCGGGAGCTGGCTGGCCAGCCGCTGCCAGGGAGACAGTCCTTTTCCCTGCCTGACTTTGCCAGCACAGACAGACCACGGCACAGCAAGTAAGCTATTAAAGAACAGCTCCAGCCAGCCAGCAAACACATGCTCATTCATCATTCTGGAGCAGGCAGAGGGATGTGCCAGCTGCTTTCAGCGAAGACCCCTCATAAAGCCCATGCCCAATAGCTTGGAAGCCTGGATGGAAGCTGGGATGAGAGTAGGGGGCCCAGGACCCTCCAAAATTACTTTCCATGTCCTGTGGGTGCTGAGAGAGCTGCCCTGCCCCACGCTAGGAGCTTGTGCATTTCTGAGCCACAGATCCAGCATGGCAGCGTCATGCAAAGACAGCTTGGAGAGGACGTGAGGGTTGGCATGGACTTCGCCAGGGCCTGGCCTGCCCCCACGTTCCCGCCTGCAGTGGGCAAGCTGAGCTGCACAACCGTGTGCGCTGGGAGGCTCAGCTCAGGTGGAACAGAGTGGGAGATGGGCTGCCAGGCACCCACAGGGAACGGTGTGGTTCCTGCAGGTCAACACCAGCTCTTCCAGAGCCTTTGCACTGTACTGCCTGGTTTTACCCCTGCTTCTCTCCCCTGCTGCTGCTGCCTCCCTACCTGTCTCCATCCCTGGAGCCCAGCCAGCTGTGCTGAGTACCAGAGTGCTCCAACTCCCATCTGGAACACTCCTGATTCAGGACAGGGGTACCCCTTTACACAGCCCAAATTAGGGGCCTGAACAAGAAACCATCCCTTTGTTGTTCCTAGCATGTAGCTGAGGTATGCGTTGTCCTGGCTAGAGTGACCCTTAGTAGCAGGGGATCTGTGTATGCCACCAGCATCCCAGCAAAGCCACACTACCAGCAGCTGAAGATTTGAACAAGGGCAGGACCCCGAGAGCAGCTTTGAGACTGACCATGCCTGGAGCCCTACCCTGTTCCTCCCTCACATCCAAAGGCGCGGCATGCCAGCTGCCTGGGGTGGGAACCCCAATTCCCTGGGGAAGGGGGGTGCTGCCCTCTCCTCCTTCATTGTGCCTTTCCCTGCTAACTGACCATTTACAACTGAGACCTAAAGGAAGAGCCAAGCAGAGATGGCCCCAAGGACGTAGCTTGTGCTGTATCATTGCCTGCCAGCCTCAGGGCTGCAGCTTGAGGAGTAAACTGGAAGAGGGGGGAAAAGATCCTCCTCTTTCACGTGGAAGAGCGGCTGCCTCTCAAGTAAGCTGCAAAGCTGCTTCTTTACCTGCATAAGAAACACCCTGCTGTTCTTGTAGAGCTTGGGTAATTCCCTAGTGCTTGCAGGATGCCCTTACCACTGCCAGCAGTGCTGGCTTGGGGTGTGACACTGATCTCCTTTACCCTAGAGCTGCACCCCCAGCAGGACACAGCCAGCTGCAGGAAAAAAAAAAAGGGAATAACTGGCCCTGGAGCTCTTCTGTGCCTCATAGCCAAGGCCTCAAGCTGCATCACTGAACAGCACTGGGCTGGATTTTTAAACAGGCTTCGGCAAAATCTTCCCCCCTGGGAGTGGTAGGAGGTGCACACACACTGTGCTGCTTGGTGTGGTAACCGCAAGCACAGCTGGAGGAGGCAAGGGAGCTCTCTGGCCCCGTCCTCTGTGTAAAAGGCTGCAAAACCCAGCTCATCACCACCGAATACAAGTAGCCCTTCTTAATGACTTTGGCGTAGCCAATTTAGGAGTGCTAACACAGGACGGGGGTGGCTTCATGTGTTTCAGATGAAGCAATCTGAGAGCAATTTTACTCCAGCAGGAGCAAGCAGTATGCAGGAAGGTCTCTGCTTCCTCACCTGCAAATTCAGCTGTGGGTTTCTGATGAGACCATCACTGCACAGCAGAAAATCAGTCCCTCCTCAAACATGTAAAGAAAGCAAAGACTCCAATCTCTTTCCCATTCCCTCCCTAGTGTTCCTCCATCTTCTCAGATAGGTTGAATTCAGCTCTGTATATCTAAATGTGCTGACTTAATCTTCAGCAGGAACCTTGGCCTGATTTTCTTCCTCTGTACTTGTACCCCTTTACCAAATCCTTCTGGTTACTTCAGCCCAGCCTAAGCTGGCCTTAGGCAGGTGATGCTGGCCCAGATCCACTTGGACTGGGGGTCTGTGTCCACATGTGCATGTTCTTTGCAGATCCCACTGCCACCTCCTGCAAGGAAACAGCAGGACGTGTCTGGCCACAGTGCAGGATAGGTAAGAATGGGACTTTGGCCCTCTTCCCTACCATGGCAGAGAGGGCACAGCCTCTGCCCAGCCCCCAGATGTGGCACATCAGCCCCAGGCCATTGGGAGGCCCGGCTGGAAGTCTGAAATCCGGCTCTGAGCCTGCGCTTTCATTGCAAACACCTCCAGCATCATCAGTGCAGAAGGAAGAGGGGGGGCTGGCTTAGCTCCTCCCGGTTGATAATTCATTACTGCCTGTTAGCCCAGATCCATCCGGCAGCAGCTACATCCTGGCACCGACATGTGTTCATTTCACACATAAAACACTGTATCAAAATGCATCATTGAGATGTTCTCCCTGAAACCTTTCCCAGCTGCCTCTCCCAGCACTCTACATACAGGAGCAGTCCCGGCAGCTGGGGCGTTTTGTTCCTAATGGATTCCTGGCACCCGCCATAGCAATCAGAGCTGCAGGATCCGTCCTCCAGCTCATGAGAAATATAAGAGGGAATCTTCCTTCAAGGGGCAGGGAGGCAGGAAGCAGAGGGTGCAGGTTTCATCCATGGCATGCTCGGATCGGGAGAAGGGAGAAGCAGCCTGTGTGCACATGGCTGGTTTATCGCATACCAATTTGCAGTGATGCAGAAATGCAGCACCTCTTCTCTCCTACCCTGAGGCCTTGGGGATCTGGAGGAGGCCCCTTCCCCTTTCTCCAAGATCCCTGACTTTGGCCTGATCCTGGTGACTGTCAGTGTGATGGTAAATCTTGCCTCCAGGGCTGAGAGGGAAGAGGATGGGTGGGTGGAGGACCCAACACCTCACTCACACAGCAGGTCCTGCCAGCTGGGAGCCAGCGGGGGTGGGAGCCCCGGATGGGTGCAGTGTGGCTCCCTGCAGAGCTGTGCCCAGGGTCAGGCTGGCTCTCGGGAGACCTGGGGGGGGGGGTCTCCCACCAAGCCCAGCCCCTTCATGGAGGCTCTCGAGTCACAGACAGCTTTTCCCCAGCCCCAAGCCTTCTCCTGCCATTCCGCTAGCACATGCTTACATGCTTCTTGTTTCTCATCCCTTCTCATCCTCCCCTCTGGCATTGCCCAGGACTTTCCTTCCCCACTGTGTCCCCCTAGCATCATTTGGGGGGGGGGGGGGGGGGGGGGGGCCTCTGCTAGTCTGGGAAGCTTCATCCCTCGCCTTGTAGGTAAGACTACAGAGGAGGACCCGGGTGAGGGCGGCCAAGTTCAGAAGACTCCCCCAGACCCGTCTTGTGCCCCCTGTCCTCTGGGCTCCCCCCCCCGTCGGGCCCTGCCGCCTCCCCACGTCCCTAACAGAGAGGGCTGAGGGGCTGCGACAGCACCGCAGGTCCCAGCCCCCCCCTTCCCCGCCCCGGGAGAGCCCCCCCCACCGGTGAAGGTCACGCCGGGGCGGCGGCCGCCCGGCAGAACCGAGCCGGGCTCCCCCCCACCGGCGGGGGGGGCGGGCCGCACCGGGGGGGGGGGGCCCGTGCGGCGGCGATTGGCTGGCGGCGGGGGGGGGGGGGGGGGGCGGGGAGCGGCGGGGCCGCGGCTGGCTGCAGCGGCGGGCGCGGAGCCCAGAGCGGGCGCGGCGGAGCATCTTCGGGCACCGCGGCCCCGCTGCGGGGCGCCTCCTCCACAGCCCCCCGGCTTCCTATGGGCGGTGCCGGCGCCCCGGCCCCCGCACGCCCGTCCCGCTCGGCGTTAGCATGGGCACGGTGCTTTCCCTCTCCCCCGCCGCCTCCTCGGGCAAGGGCGGCGGCGGCGGCGGCGGGGGGCTGCTGGCCGATAAGGCGCCGGGAAGGGTTCCGGGCAAGGGCGAGAGCCGGCTGAAGCGCCCCAGCGTGCTCATCTCGGCGCTCACCTGGAAGCGGCTGGTGGCCGCCTCGGCCAAGAAGAAGAAGAGCACCAAGAAGGTGACGCCGAACCCCGGCGACGGGGCCCCGGGGGGGCCCCCGGACCAGCCCGACCCGCTGGTGGTGCAGCGCAACCGCGAGAACTTGCGCAAGTCGGTGGTGGTGCCGGCCGACGGGGCCAAGCAGGGCCCGCTGGCCGTGCCGGTGCCCACCGTGCCCTCGGCGCCGCAGGAGCTGCACCCGGGCTCCGGGGGGGGCAAGCCGCCGCCGCCGCCCGGCAGCCGCGGCCCGGGGTCCCCGCGCCGCGTGGTGGTGCAGGCGTCCACCGGCGAGCTGCTGCGCTGCTTGGGGGACTTCGTGTGCCGCCGCTGCTACCGGCTGAAGGAGCTGAGCCCCGGCGAGCTCATCTCCTGGTTCCGCGGCGTGGACCGCTCGCTGCTGCTGCAGGGCTGGCAGGACCAGGGCTTCATCACTCCGGCCAACCTGGTGTTCGTCTACCTGCTGTGCCGGGAAGCGCTGCGGGGAGAAGATATCGGGAGCCAGGCCGAGCTGCAGGCTGCCTTCCTCACCTGCCTCTATCTCGCCTACTCCTACATGGGCAACGAGATCTCCTACCCGCTCAAGCCCTTCCTGGTGGAGGGCGACAAGGGGCGCTTCTGGGAGCGCTGCCTGGGCATCATCCAGCGCCTCAGCGCCAAGATGCTGAGAATCAACGCGGACCCGCACTACTTCACGCAACTCTTCCAGGACCTCAAGAGCGAGGGCGAGGGCGGAGACGGGTCCAAGCACTGGACGATCAGCCTGGACCGTTAGGGAGGTACCGGGCCCCCGGCGCCGGGGGCGGAAGGGGCCGCGCACCGAGGGGCGGGGGAGGCGAAGGACTGCCGGATCCCCCCCCCCCCCCCTCTCAATCCCCCGCATCCTCCTCGCCTCCCCCCTCCCCGGCCGCCAGCTCCACGGAGACGCTGCTTGGACCCTCCCTGCTCCGGATCCGGCCGGTTTCCCCCGCCCCCCCTTCCGACCCCCCCCCCCAGCCGGGGGCTGCGTTCCGGGACACCGAGACGGCGGAGAAGACCTGGGAGGGGGGTTGGCGGGGTGGGGGGGCTGTCCCTGCCGCCTGCACGATGGGGAAGGGGAGAGGCTGCCGAGTAGCGGAGGCTCCTGGATGCGTTTTCCTTAGAGAAAAAAAAAAAAAAAAAAAAAAGGAGGGGAGGCGGGGGGGAAATGGAGCTGGGTGTCCGGGGCAGGAAGTGGGGGGGGGGGTGTCTCCTGGGTGCTGCGGGGGTCCCGGACAGACGGTGCATGTGAAGGAGCCCCCCCCGCCCCGGGCAGGGCTGGCCCCCCCCGCCCCCGCCGCCGGCCTGGAGCTGTCCGTGGTGCTGGAGCCGCCGCGGCTGAGCAGACAAAGGCGGGGGGGGGGGGGGGGGGGGCCCTGCGGGCTTCCATGTCGTGGGCGCTGCCTTTCCCCCTTCCTCCCCCACCCCGCGTGTGGGATAGAGGCCCCCCCCCCCCCCCCTACACACACACACCCCCCCAGGGCGCATGGGCGAAGCTGCCCCTCACCCCGCGGGAGCCGCCCGCTTGCCCCTTTGTTTGAGCCGCTGGCGGGGGGTGGGGGGGGGGGCCGCCCACCCTTCCCGCAGGTAAACACACCCCCCCCCCGGTACGCCCTCCGAAACAGGGTCCCGGTGGGGTGATGCCCCGCCTTGGCTTGCTGTGGGGAAAGGGGTCTGTGCCGGAGGCGGCCTAGGGTGCCTGTTGTGGGGAGGGGGGGGGGGGGTGTCCCCCTCTCCTCTTGCTTTGCTTCACTGGAGAATAAAGAGGCGGCCTGGATGGGCCTGGTGGTGGCTCCCTGGAATTGCTGGGGTGTGGGGTGCAAGGGGGATTGATGGGGGGCACCCCAAGCTCCCAGTCATGCCCCCTCTCCTCCCCAAGTGGGATGGGGTGGGGGACTGGTTCTCGGAGGCGGTTTTACTTCCTGGTGTGAATTGGGGGAGAGGGGGGTGGTGGTGCCAGAATTTCAGCACTGTTTGTTGTGCCCGAGGCCGGTCCTGGTCTACCTGAGTGTGCCTTGGCTCCCTGTGAGCTCTCCTGGCCTCCTCCATTCCAGATGGAAATGCCAGATGCCTGACTGTCACACGGAATTTAACCAGGACTTCACTTCCATTTCCCTCCCCACCCCCTTTTTTTTTTTTTCTTTCTTTTTTTTTAAATTGTTATTTATTTTTTTCCTAAAGCTACCCCACCTCACCTCCTTCCTCCCTTCCCTGCCCGGCTCCCTTCCGTGGCAGCAGCAGGCTGTGGGAGCTGGGTTGCTAGCCCAGTTACCAGCTGTGTGCTTCTGCAGACCCCCGGGGAGATGGGTGGAGAAGGGGAAGGCTTTGCCTTGCTCACAGCTGATTGCTACGCCTCAGGGTACTGAATTTGTCCCGGCTTCTTTAGCAGGACCCACGGCACACGCTCTCTTGTTGGGGTCTGCATCCAGTGCTTCTCTGATCCAGGCGCTTGGGCTCCCCTCAGCCAGGAAGAGCTGTGCTGGCTCTGCAGGTCATGGAGGGTAAGCTGGATTCTCTCTACCTTTGTGTGCATCAGCAGAGCTGCTAATTAGGCTCAATCTGGCTCATTCAGGCAAAGCTGTGCAGCCAGGAAGACAGCACAGATGTCCCTGTGGCAGGGTGCTGTGCAAGGCTTTTCTGTGGCTGAGTAAACCCACCGAGACCTGTGCTGCTCCCCTCCTCCTTGTCCCTAATGGGTGTTCTTGTCCCTGCCTTTAGACTGACATTCATGTGACCTTGTGGTGAGCTCTCTGGGCCAAAAAATACTCATGACCCACCCCAAATTTAGCCATATCCACATCTTGTGCTGGGAAAGGTAGTAACTCTGACTTGCTCTGGCTTAAACAGGGGTAGAACTGGACCCTTGGAGCTCCTGGGGGGGCCCTGGCTCTCCTCTATCAGCATTTTGCAGAGGGGGGAAACTGAGGCACAGTGAGGTGAAGCAGCATGTCACAATCCAGCAAGAAGGGTCTGCAGCATCTCAGGGTAACACCCAAGCCATTGGTGCTGGCTGTCTCCAGCCTGAGCCAGGGGTATTTGTCCAGTGATACCCTACCCCCAGCCATGGGGCTTCATAGAGCCTCACTCATATCCAGAGCCGAACAACCTGCCAGCATTGGTGGAGGTTTCCCACCCTACAGCTCCCTTAGAGACCCTCACAGGGTCCTTCCAGCCTCAAGCCCCAGCCTTTTAAAATGCTTCCAGCTTCAGGGAGGCCATGTCCTTCCCCTCCTCCCTTGTGTTTCATTGATTAAGAGTGCTAGGCCTCATTGGGGGATTTAGGAAGAGCTAATTGCAGACTGGTAATTGAAGACAGCTTGGAGTCTCTGAAAATGTCAAGGAATGAGAGATGAGCTTAGATGCTCCCATGCATTTAAATATGCATTGTCAGCTCAGCCAGAGCCTTACTGAGGGGAGAGATGTCTGGTTTTCCCTCCCTCAGAGGGCCTTGTACAGCTCCTAGGGGGAGAGGGGCAGGGGGAGCACTAACCTTACCTTGCCTGGGAGTCTCCTGCTCCCCCTAAAGGCAAATGGGAGGTGGGGGGGACTCAAGCAGAGGAAGGTACTGAGGGTGGGATTCCTCAGACAGGCTTGAGTGCTTGGTGTTCTCTCTCTAAAGCTGTGTGCTTTAACCTGCCAGACCCCTGTGCTGCTGCACGATGCCACGGGGGGTCTGGGCACAGGAGCCAGCTATGGGGCAGCAGTATAGGGATGGATAGAGCTTGTCACCAAACTCGTGATCCCTGCAGCCACCCAGTGCTCCCTGAGGAGCAGTGAGGGGCTGGGAAGCCCCCCCTTGCTGCCATCTGCAGGGCCCAGCAGTGTCTGGGGTTGCAGGGATGAGGATTCACATCAGGTTTGGGGCTCAGAGGTGGAGCAGTAGGGCCAAGTCAGGGATACATCACCACAGGGCCTTGGTGAAGGATCCCAGCTCTTTCCTAGTTTGAAATTCCTCTGACAGCAACACATTTCCTCTCTATGCATCACAGTGGATGCCCCATCTGTTCCACCCCACGTAACAGCAATGGAGGTGGGAACAAGCTGCATACTGCAGTCTGCAGTTAGTTCAGCCCCTCCTGCCCCAGGGAGGTCTCTTCTCGGGCCGTAGCATCCTTCTCTTGCTCCCCAAGGGTGTGTGGAGCTGCTGGAGGCACCCTGGGTGGCAGTGGGTCCCCAGGATCTGTAGTTGCCTATGAAAGGCAGGGTTTCTGCCCAGAGCTCATGGAGCAACAGCTCCGTGGGGCTCTCCTTGCCCTGCTGCTCTGTCTGCAGAGCAAGCTCAATGCGCTGGATGTGCTGGCCATGACACTGGGTCATGGAGCAGCAATGGGTGGCTGGAGCAGCCAGCCTGGCAAGCCGTGCCTCCTCCTGCTGGACAAAGAGTGGGGAAGCTGTGCTCTTGCTGCTGAGGGATGACAGCATCCCCCAGAGTGACTCGGAGCTGCTCTGTGGGGTGAAAACTGCCCCTGATGATGCAGACCCGGTGCCCACGTGGCTGGCGAAGGACCTGCCTCAGCCCAGCTTTCTGCACAAGCCTTTCTCCTCCGTTAGCTTGCGAGGATGATGGATAACGTGTTCCTTAAGGCAGATGGAAGTGGGAGATCTCTCCTGCCTCCGTGGGAGCTACTCGGACATTGGCTTTACCACAGCTTCAGGCTGTTGCTGCTCTGCTGAATTGGGAATGTCTTGTGGGTGCAGGTTTTTGGTCCTCTCCCTGCTCCATGGCACTTTTGTCACAGCTGCTGGTGGGATGTCTAAGGGGGAAGACGTGGACAAAGTGACACGGGAACATGGCAGCTAATGGCAGAGTGTGAGGGTTCCTAGACTAAATTGGTTGATGGAATATTTGTACCCAGGGAGGGGCAGGACAGTCGCCGCAGGGTCTCAGCTGATGGGGGATGCATCCAGGCTGGGGTGGGAACCTGCAGGAGGCTTTGAGCTCTGCCTGTGCCCAGGGTAGCCCAGTGGCAGGCATGAAATTGAAGGAGGTGGGACAGCAGACAGCTTGGTCCCTGCTGTAGCTAAAACATGGCCTGTGGCATTGCCTGGCTAGTGGGTATGGGGCTGAGGAGCACAAACTGGGGACAGCTCTGTGCCAGGAAGCTGAGGCAGGTGGAGAAGGGAAACCAGGTACCTTGGAGCCCTACTGTGATGGTTAATCCTTCTTCTGTGAAGCCTGGCAGAGCAGGAGGCCAGGGCTGCCCAGGCTGGGGCATTACCTCCATCCCACGGAGAGCTGAGCGTGGAGGTTACGCTGTGCTGTGTCCCCTGCCTATCTCATGGTCCTGTGTCACCCCTGAGCATGGAACTCCTTGAGGGACAGCCAGGCAGCACCAAGTTGTGGCCCAGGGCAGTTGTGGGGAGCCTGCCCCAAGCATGAGTGCCCTCCAGGCTGGAGCGGGTGCTCCTCCCTCATCAGAAGTCCTGAATTAGAGCATAATCTGGCATTACTGCATTAATCCATTCCTCCCTGCTGCCCAGCCCCTGCCCTCAGCAGAGTCCAGCCCAAGGTCTCAGTGTACAGCTGGGCAGGAACAGCATCAGTATATTGTCTCCCCAGCTTGCCTGGGCACCAGAGAGCAGGTGGCAGCAGGGGCACAGTTTGGGGCTCCGTCCAGAGCATCGCTGTGTCTGGGGAGGGCAACGAGCAGTGAAGAAACCCAAAGTGCACAAATGTCCCCTCAAATGCATCCAGGACCTGGCGGAAGGGAAGACCAGGCCGGGGGGGGGGGGGGGGGGGGGGGGGGGTTTGATAGTAATATGGCCCCAACCCAGAGCATCTGGCCAGGGAGAAAGCATCTTTTGGAAGCATCAGAGTGGTTCTTTGGAGGGGCTTCAAGAGGGGTTTTGGAGCCCTGGTGCCCACACCTGCCGGGCTCCAGCTGAGCCACGCTGTCACAAAATGCTTTGCAGGGAGCCAGGCCAAGGGAAGGTGGCGTCTGGAGAGAGGATGTGAGTCAGCAGCTTGTGGATGGGGGGGCCGAGCCGAGCTGAGGAGCCAGCAGAGCCGGGTTGTGGAGAGGAGGGAATAGGTGGGAATGGGGAGAGCTGGAGGGGGAACAGGGGTGGGCAGGGAGGCAGCCCCCCGTCCTCCAGGGCAGATGTAACCTGTCTGTGCTGTGAAGGCTCTTCCCAGTGTGAGAAATTAAACAAGTGTTGATGTGGATCTGCTAAAATAGGAGAGGAGATACTCCATCTCCCCTCTGATCCCTTACTGTGGGGCTGGAAGGCCTTGGGGGAGTTGGAGGGGTCCCCCCTCCATGCTGGCAGGAGGCTGAGGCCAAGGCAGGGCTCAATCCTGCCCTTTTGCTGGCTAAGCAAAGCCAGAGACAAAAATACTTTTTTTTTTTTTTTAAAAAAAAAAAAAAAGTAGGGAAAAAACCTTCTGCCTTTAATCACAGGGCAGCAGAAGAAGCTGCCAGGCCATGTGCTCTGGTCCCTTGCTCTTCCCAGCACAGGCTGAGGCCCTCTGGGACTGTGTTTCCCCATCTCACCCTGGGCAGGGCACCCAAGGGCTCCCTGCAGGTAGGTCTGGAGCCCGTGGGCGCACCGGGCCCTGCACCCTGGTACCAGACACCTAGGACAGGCTCCCCACCCAGCTGGTGCACCCCACTGCCACGGACAGTGCTCCTACATCTGCCCTCCGGGCTGAACATCCCTGGTCAGGGCCAGGGACGATGCTCTGCCGGGAGCTGTGCCGGGCTTGGCCCTGCTCGCCCATTGGCAGGATTTTGCTGCAGTCTGTTCTGAGCCGGTGGTTTTGGAGGCTGAAGGAAGCGGCG